TAGTCACACAGCGCTACTGCGATGCAAATAGACTGAGGGAGTCCAGCTTCAGTGTGCCTCGGAGGAAAAAGAAGTTGGGTTTGGCTTATACACAGCCAGTCTTTGCCATCGGGGTCTTCTGTGTAACCACAGGTCCTTTCTTTTTTTTAAGTTACCCTCCCACGTTAAGTGCCAATTCTAACCCAATTTCATTTGTGAAAATGTGCTACTTTCTGCTCAGGTACACTTAGTAAGGTCTGTCATATTCCCTAACTCCCATTTACGTGTCTTATTTCTAAAGCCAGTCAGTTACTTTTTGTTGGAGATGATGCTAAAAATCCAGGACCTAGGTTCCCTGACTTCTAGCTGTATATTGTAGTTGATTGGTTTTGTGTGAAAGAGTGATATGGGTCCCTGTATTGTAAACAGAAAGGTCTGGAAGGCCTCAGATCGTCTAGTCTCGAGTTGCCAACCCCCCTCATGCTCACTCCCACAGGGGGTGCATTGCAATCTTTACTCTTTGAAATTACCTTGTTGGTATCTTTGTCATGATTACCATCCGTCTCATGGAACTTAGAGTCTAGAAAGTGAGAAAGAACTGGAAGCTGAAGGTGCTGAAAAGGGCCTTCTAAAGCCCTGAGAGGCCTCTTTCAGTTCTCAAATCCTATTAAAGGTGCATGGATTATCACTATGAATTTTGGATGGGAAGGAGTGACTTAATGTAAACAGAACCCCAAAAGCCAGATATTGTACTAATGGGATATTACAGAGGAAGTGTCCCTTGAAAAATTTTATTTTGCCGGGATCACACTGAGTTGGTTATATTGTCTTACAGCTTTATGTGGTACTAGACTTTATGCAGTTCTTTCATACCCATGATCTCATTTACTCCTCCCAGTAACTTTTTGAGATAACTAGCGTTCCATGGAGGAAACCAAAGCTCAGGTTAAATGATGTACTGGAAGGCACCAGACAGTTTATGGCAGGAGTGGGTTGAACCTGACTGGTGTTTTTCCCACTGCATCTTCACCAACTCCAGTTATTTCTTTGTTGGTGCCGTTCCCAATCTGGATCTCAGTTGGTTTTTATTCCATATTGGGCTCCCTTCCCCAGCTAAAGCATTTGGGTTTATGGCATTCCTGTCACTTTGATTCTGTTCCAGAGAGAAGTAGAGATCCTCATGTTCCTCAGTGCCATCGTGATGATGAAGAACCGCAGATCCAGTGAGTTTAGCCTGCTCCTCGGTTTCTCGGGCCTCATGCCCTCCAGAGGTGCTTTCAGTCTCGTTATGAGAGGGGCATTATTTGGTGAATGAGTCCCTCATTCCACGCCAGGGCCAAATTTGATCTTGGACTTATCCTCTTCCCCCCTCTCCCATTTCAAAATACTACAGGAAGAGTGACAAACAGGATATGGGAGTATGCAGCCCAGCCTGACCTGTGACATCTTTGTGTTTCAGTCACTGTGGAGCAGCATATAGGCAACATCTTCATGTTTAGTAAAGTGGCCAATGCAATTCTTTTCTTCCGTCTGGATATTCGCATGGGCCTGCTTTACATCACACTGTGCATAGGTAAGGAGACTGGTTGTGTGAACCAAATTACAACCCCAGACAGGTCTCTCCATACCCTTCTTCCATATCTTGTATATAATTAATTATGTATGTGGTTCAGGTGATAAGAATCTATGGAAATTTTAGGAAGAAGGGAATGTGTCAGTGGTCTGAATATGTCCGCAAAGTGTATTCTTTGGTGCCTAAAATCTTTGAGTCAGTTTGAAAGTAAGCCCCCTGGGCAGCCCCAGTGTCGCAGCGGTTTAGCACCACCTGCAGCCCATGGCGTGATCCCGGAGACCCTGGATCAAGTCCCAAGTCGAGCTCCTTGCATGGAGCCTGCTTCTCCCTCTGCCTGTGTCTCTGCCTCTCTCTCTCTCATCTCTATCTCTATCTCTATCTCTCTGTGTGTGTGTGTCTCTCATGAATAAATTCAAAAAAAAAAAAAAAGAAAAGGAAAGTAAATCCCCTGCTGCAGGCCTTTAATATGTCTCCTCTGACATTTTTTTTTCTATGTTTAGTGTTCCTGATGACATGCAAGCCTCCCCTGTATATGGGCCCTGAATATATCAAGTACTTCAATGATAAGACCATTGATGTGAGTTCTCTTCCTTTCTTCTGTTTCTTGGGTCCCTTTTGGGTGATTTTGTAGCTGTGCTTTTTACTCACTAGGGGTAACTTCTTCAGAGTAGGTGTCGAGGGCACTGTGGTTCGTTATTGGAGCTAGGGAGAGAGGGAAGAGAAAGCCAGGGCCAGCAATTAGACGCTTAAGTCTGAACTTTTCTGGGAACCTGTGTGATCCAGCTCACTGTTTCTTCCCTGTGTGTGGCAGGAAGAGCTAGAGCGGGACAAGAGGGTCACTTGGATTGTGGAGTTCTTTGCCAATTGGTCTAATGACTGCCAGTCGTTTGCTCCCATCTATGCTGACCTCTCCCTCAAGTGAGTACTGCATAGGGACGGATGATGGAAGCAGAAGTGCTATACTTTCCCTCTCATTGTTTTTGGCTTTCTTTTTCTTTTTCTTTTTCTTTCTTTTTCTTTTTCTCCTTTTCTCTTTTTCTTTTTCTTTTTCTTTTTCTTTTTCTTTTCTTTCTTCACATTGCAACCAAAGGCATTTCTCCCTGCTCCCCAAATATCTGCATTTCCAGTTCTCTTGATCCATTTTCTTCTTTTACTGTGTTAAATTAAATAATATATTTTTCTTAGGTACAACTGTACGGGGCTAAATTTTGGGAAGGTGGACGTCGGACGCTATACTGATGTTAGTGTACGGTATGTAAGGGTCTGGACAGAGGGTCTGAGCAAAAGTCATTTTTTTTTTTTAAGTCGTTTTGAGTAATGTAGACAGATGCATTTACAGAGTACCTTCTGGGCCCTGTAGGTACAAAGTGAGCACATCGCCCCTCACCAAGCAGCTCCCGACCCTGATCCTGTTCCAAGGTGGCAAGGAGGTCATGCGGCGGCCACAGATTGACAAGAAAGGACGAGCTGTCTCTTGGACCTTCTCTGAGGTATCTGAATGAGTGAGTGGCTTGGAGAAGCATATGGAACAGTGGTGGGCTTTGGAGGCCAACTTGGGTTTGATTGCTGGCTCTGCCCCTTGCCCACTAGTTGTGAGAGTGTGGACTAGTTAACCAGATTTCATTCATGAATTCGCTCAGCAAATTTGTGCTTCTACCATGTGCCAGAACTCCTAGTACCAGAGAACAGTTATTAAGATTCCATCTCAGAGGCCCTAGTCAGTGTAGTCTATAGGCCTGAGGTTCCTTGGCAGTAAATTGGAGAGAGTAACACTTGCATCACAGGGTCGTTTTGTGGAGTGTATTAAATAATATAGCTGTAATTCTTGGCATGGTGATTGTCACATAATGGGTATTTAATTGTACAGGGTTGACTTGTCCAGGTACCCAAAAAAGGAGAGTTAGGTTAGAGTAGATTTCTGTCTTTTCCTTCCTTCTTTTCTAGACTGTGTCTAAATACTTCTTACTTCCCAGTAAGTACTTGCCAACCAGAACCCTGATGTGTGTACGCACACCTCTTTTGTGCAGGAGAATGTGATCCGAGAATTCAACTTGAATGAACTCTATCAACGGGCCAAGAAGCTATCAAAGGCTGGAGATAATATCCCCGAGGAGCAGCCTGTGGCCCCCACCCCCACGGAAGTACCAGATGGGGAAAGCAAGAAAGACAAATAGAATCCCTGCCTTGTCTGTGCTTCCTCACCTTTGAGGCCCTGCCCCTCCTGTAACCACAAGCCTTGTGTGAGGCCTGGGCCTTTTATTTATGTTTTCTCCTTTGGCTCTACCTGAGTGGGGCAGGGTGCTGCTTCTGATTTTAAAGAGGCTTCCAGGGAATTGACAGGCACCCTCCAGGAAGGCCTCCACTGCTGTGGTCAACTTTCACTGGAAGAAGGGAGAAATCTACAATGGATGAAGAAAGGCTTTCCCTCCAAGCTTGGGTCACTGTATCAGTTATGGTCACCACTCACATGTCCCCACTATGCTGTGTTTTCATCTCTCCTCTCAGTGGACCTACACAGTCTGCTTAGATTACATTCAACCTAAAACAGAAGACGCCTGGGTATGGAGTCTGCACCAGGATTTTCCCCTCAAGGACCCTTGCTGCTTTAGGCACTTCTGGCTTGGTCTGTGGCCTTCATTAAAAAGTATAAGACTAACTTTGTCACTGGTCCCAAGGAGACACTTTTAACCACTGAGTGTACTCATTGGAGATAATATTGAATAATAGCCCTGTTTTTTTGGGAGTTTGTGAGGAAGGGGAATAGGTTTGAGACATTCGTTTGTGTGGTAGGGCCTGGAGGAGAAAGCCCTGGGCAGGAATGGGGTTTCACTTACTCTCCCACCTACTCCCAACACCCAGTAGATGGTTTTCCATAATAAACTGGGATTTCCTTTTGATTCTGCCTTTGTGGGTTCCTCGCCTATTAGAAAAGCCTGGCCACTGCATAGGGGGTGCCTGTCTCCTCACCTGGGCTTGGTCTCCAGAATCGGGGAGGGATGGGAAGGCAAGTTTCTCTAATGCTAGAGTACTGACTTCACCGAGTTAGGCTGGGAGTTTGGTTTGGGATTGGTCCGCGGTTCCCAAGGAGCAGAGTGGCGGCGGGGGTGGGGTTTGTGTGTGGTCGTGCACGCTATTTACCCCGACGGAAGCTTACTGAAACGCCTGTGTGAAGCCAGGCTTGTTTCAGAGCTGCTTGTCCGCGCTCCCCCGCCGCCGCGGGCGGAGTGGTTGTGCCCAGGCAGCCCCGCCTCCCCCCGCGGGCCTGTGCCCAGAGAGCTCCCCCCGCGCTGTGGGCGGAGTGGTTGTGCCCAGAGAGCTGCCCCCCCCCGCCGCGGGCGGAGTGGTTGTGCCCAGGCAGCCCCGCCTCCCCCCGCGGGCCTGTGCCCAGAGAGCTCCCCTCCCGCCCCCCCCCGTCGCGGGCGGAGTGGTTGTGCCCAGGCAGCCCCGCCTCCAGGCCGCGTGTGCGCCGGCCCACGCTCGGTGCGTCCCCGGGGAGGCATTGTTCCGCCGGCGGCCTTTCTGGCCTGCGGTTTGGAGCTTGGCGCGTGGAGCGGCGTTGGCCGGACCCCTATTGCCGCCCAGGTCAGCTCGGCTCCAGGCGCCATGGCTTCTCGCGGGAGGAAGCGGAAGGCCGAGGCGGCGGGGGTCGCGGCGGCGGAGAAACGGGAGAAGCCGGCGAGCGGCAGGAAGGCCGTGGAGGAGGCGACCGTCGTGATCGAGCATTGGTGAGGGGCCCGGAGAGGCCCGGGGAGGCGGGCCGGGGCGCCGCACACCGAGGCCCCCGCCTCCGACCTTCCCCTTTTTCTCCTAGCACGAGCTGACGCGTCTACGGGCGCAACGCCGCGGCCCTGAGCCAGGCGCTGCGCCTGGAGACCCCGGAGCTCCCGGTGGAGGTGAATCCGGCCAAGCCCCGGAGGGGCAGCTTCGAGGTGACGCTGCTGCGCCCGGACGGCAGCTGTGAGTGGGGGGGCCCGCCCCGGGGACCAGGCGGGAGGGCCTCGGGCTCTGGGGCACATGCTGGCGCATCCCAAAGTGACTTCGTTTCCTTGGTCTTTTCCCAGGTGTGGAGCTTTGGACTGGGATTAAGAAGGGGCCCCCACGCAAACTCAAGTTCCCTGAGCCTCAAGAGGTGGTGAAGGCGCTGAAGCAGCACCTTTCGTAGGGTGTTTGGGCAGAAGTCCTCGTGCTGAGGTTTGAAGGGGACAGGAAGGGTGGATTGGGGGTATTTGCGAAGCAGCCCTCGAAGTGTCCTCACCTGAGGCAGCATCTACAACTTAGAACTCTTCTTGCTCAGGTTTTCCCGTTTGTGCTGGTAGAAAAATAGAAATCGGCCACAAAGTTGTTTATTCTTAGCGTGTGAATGACTATAGAAACGCGATTTGTGCCCTTTGAAGATGAGGTTATTACTCTGGGGGTATGGACCCTTTTCATCTTTGTTAAATTTATTTTGCATACCTGTGGCAATTGTTTTTCTTCAGCTGGTGGTGTAATAAATCCCACCGGTTTCCTCGTTTGTGAGTTAGTCATTGGTAATGTCCAGATTTTTCTCCTTCCTTTACTGGCAGAGTCTTTGTGTAACCTCATGTGTGCTTACCCCTACCCTACCTTCTTGTGTTTTTTGTTCCTAGGTTTTCTGTTAATCTCATGTAAAACCTATGGTTGTGTCACTCGTGGCCCCCAAAATTTAGTGGTTGGACATGTTGTTAGGCACCTGATACGTTGAATGAAATGTACAGGGAGGATGCAATCCTTGAAATCTCCTGGGTTTGTGGGTTCTGAGGGTGGGCACATTTTCCCCTGGCTTTAGGATTGCTTGGACCTCTTCTCTAACCTTTTTCCCCCCCATCATTTCACAGCATATCCCTGGTGATGTTGGAGCATTTATGACGGAACATGGCCAAACTTCAGTCATGTACCTGAAGCCATGGTTTCTTCCCTCCAGAGATGATGGTTCATTTGTGAGGCAGCCCTCTAGTAAGGCAATGAAAAGTTCTTGGTTTGTTTAATAAAAGCTGAAATAAAGTATTTGAATAATAAAACTTAATCTTATGGTAAGAGATGGACAAAACCAGCTCTTAGTGGGATTGGCTCCCCTTGTATTTTTAATATTCTGAGGTCACAAATTAACCTGGAGCTCCTAGGGTCTGTGGTAGATCATGTGAAATACTTGCCAGAACTGTTGGGGGGGGGGGGTAGAAATCTATTTTCTAAAAAGCATGTCTTTTTCAACTCACTTCTTGAAAGTTATGATTAAGTTGTCTTTTTGGCCCCTACAGATATTTGGCTAGACTTCCCATGCTGGATTGAATAAGCCACACACATTAGATATGCAAAAACATTCTGTTACTTTTACCCACTTATACCATCCCAGCACTGTTTCCCATTTTCTGTTTCACAGAGGGTATTCTCATTTATTAATAAATTAGCAGTGACTAGATGCCTCATAACTTAGAAGACCTGGTGTTGGTTATTTTATGACCCGGTAGAGTTGGGGACCACACAGTTTATAATTTCACTTGTTTATCACTAACTGGAAAGTAGATTACAAAGAAATAAGATGGTTCAAGTTCATAATTTTGTACCCATGGTACTAGTTTTGCTTGGCTCCCAAAGCCTTGGGGGTGAGGGAAGAGGAAGGGACATAGAGAACTACAGTACACTTGCCTCTTTTGCTAAGAGGACAGGGCATGTACCAGCCTCTGCCATTATACCTTTGCTAGCAAACATTTCCCACCCTCCCACTGCCCCTAACCTGTACTCCTGTTCTACGTTAATATGTCTACCTCTGTGTCTGACTCTGAGGAGGGGTCGGGCCACACAGAGGGAATACCAGTGGGCACCAGCCTCCCCTCTGATGTCCAGTCCACTACATCAATCTCTTCCTCTTCGGAGCTGGCAGGAAGCGGGTCCAACAATTCAGAGTTGCCAAGTAGCTCCTTGCCTGCTTCTGGAGCAGGATATAATACCTCATCCATACTTAGGGACACTTCTGGCCTAGTGTCCATCCAGTTTGAACAGGGAGGTGAGAGATCCTCATAGGACCTTTGGGGAAGGTCAAGAGAGTCCATGTGAAGCTTCTCTCTCTGACCATCCAGTGGTTGGGAGCTGGTAATTTCCAGATCTGGAGTCCAAGAGCCTCCTACTGAAAGTACCTCCCCTTCACTTACCTCAGAGGGTAAGACAAGGGGGCTAAGGGACTCGATGGGCTCTTTGTTCTCAGAGTGCATGACAAGGGGGCTAAAGGGCTCAATTGGCTCTTTGTTCTCATCAACAGGTTCTTTTTCCAATCCTGAGAGCTCCCTGGGCCAGAGTTCCATGTCTGGCAAACACCATTCCTCCCCTTCAATCCAGTCCTTTCCTGTTTCTGTCAGGTGATAGCTAGGGGTCCTGCAGCCCTCGGCTTCAGGACTTTCCAGAGACCCTATGGGTGGCTCAATGTCTGAGCCACACAGCATGAAGTCTAGGATCTCCTCCAGCTCACTGGTGGCAGCAGCACTTGTGATACGGTACTCCTCAGCTTCGCAGGGCTGCCCCAGCAGGGCTGTGTCAAATGCATAGGGCTCTCGGCAGTCAATATCCAGCCCAGGTTCCTTCCCTACCAGCTCTAGACTGGACCCAAACTCGGATTTCACCACTGGGTGGTCTGGGGAGTGGCTAGCAGATAACAGAATGTCTTGTAGCCTAGGGCACATGGGGGAGTCCTGACACAGGTCTACCCTAGCAGATGATGTTTCCAGCTCATTAAGTGAGGATGGCTGAGTACTTGCAGGCTCTTCTGGGTATTGAGATTCTGGGATCTGAGGGCTATCTTGAGAGTTTTTGAGGGGAGGGTCTTGTACCACCTCCCAGCATGTTCCATTGACAATCTTCCGAAGCTTCACTCTTCCAACCTGCCCCTCTTCTGCAGAGTCTGAGTTAGGTGCCCTGACTTCAGGGCTCCTCTTCTTGCTCCCACCTGTCTTTCCAAGACCAGATGGGCTTGGGATGCTCTGTAGAGGACTAGCTCTCCCTGGTTTCTCCTTGTCTTCTGGTACTTTATTTATACTCTTCTGCCGCCAAAGACGCCGGCCAGGGACTGTGGGTACTGAGCTGGGTCCGCTTACCATGCTGGAAGGCTTAGATGTACAGATATCAGGAGATGGCTTTGAGCGACTCAGTCTGATCTTTCTGGGCAATAGCCGCTCATCCACAGAGGGGTACATACTGGGTGGGGAAAGTGCCGTAGGAGCAAGGGCAGGGTCACTCTTACTCTCTTTTGGTCCCTGGCTGTGGCCTGATGGTGAAGAACACTTTTCTTGTGGAATTGGGCAAGCTCTGGCCTTCTTCTTGAGCAGAAGATTGCCGGACAAGTTCTCTGCATTCTGTCTGTTGCTTTTCTCCAAGGGCCCCTCCTCCTTCCCCGAGGACTTTAATCTCACTGGCCCAAGAGGACAAGGAGTCTGGGTCGCAGGGAGTGGAGTTCGAGGTCGGCGGCTGGATGCCACCACCCTGGCAGAGATTGGTGCAGCACTTGGAGGCTGTAAGCACTCCCGGTTCAGTCTTCGGCCCTGGGGGGCCTTTACCAACTTCCCACCCTCTAGTTGAAGGGATTCTAGCTCAGATACACGGAGCTGACGGGCAGCAGAAAGCACATCCTGGGCTTCTTCTCGAGATACTTCCATCTCTGAGGTATATAAGAAGTCCACCAGCTTCCTCAGTGTCCTGATCTTCAAGCCCCCCAGCTCCAGCACCACCTTCCGACCCTGAGCTGGCCTCTCCCGCTCCAGACGCTCTGTGAAGAAGGGGCTGCAGGCTGACAGGATGCAGCAATGGGCTGGGACTGCCTCACCTGGAAGGAAATCCAAACACTGTTATCTCGTGCAAACTGGCATGTTCGTTGGCTAAGCAGAGTCCTTACTCCCAAATGTGCTGCCCGTTCTCTGTTTTCCTTCACGGAAGTTCGAATAGGAGAAATTTGTTCCTTCTGTCTGTCTGGAACCTTGTGTCATTATCTAGCTAACCCACTTTTTATTCTTCGAAATCTAGTTTAGACATTACTTCTTTCAGAAAGCCTTTCCCACCCCACCCAAGTCTAGGTTAGGTGCTCCTGGGCAGAGAGAAGGACTCTAGTTATCAGAGCATTTCGCTATCTATATTGTAACTACTGCCTTCACTAAGGTGAAGCTCTACAAGGACAGAGACTATTTGTCTTGCTCACTGAGGTATATATACCCACTGCTTGACACAAAGGATGGTTTCAAAATTTTTTAGACTCATGAGAGTTTTAAAATTTTTATAGAAGCTGCTTGTAACAGAATATGAGCTTTGGCTGTAGACAATCAAGGTTCAGTTCTCTCCTGATCTCTTAAGCACTGTGCCAGGCATAATCTGTCCTCAGTCACCTTCTTTATGGGCACTTCCCATCAGTCTCAGTCTCATGGTCTTAATTCCCAAAGGCTTGCTGTTGATTCCCAGGTTCTATCTCTGCCCAGATACCTTTCCTGAGACACTAAACATGCCACAGCCTGCATCAACCTTTCTATAAAGTGAACTCCATTCCCTAACCCCAAAACCTCCCATTTCTTACTTCAAAATAAGTATCCACTTTACCCAGCTGCCCAAGCCTGGAAACTACAAGTCATCTTGTCAAGAATTTTTTTTTTTAATTTTTATTTATTTATGATAGAGAGAGAGAGGCAGAGACACAGGCAGAGGGAGAAGCAGGCTCCATGCACCGGGAGCCCGAGGGAGAAGCAGGTTCCATTCACCGGGAGCCCGACGTGGGATTCGATCCCGGGTCTCCAGGACCACGCCCTGGGCCAAAGGCAGGCACCAAACTGCTGCGCCACCCAGGGATCCCTTGTCAAGATTTTTATTTTTAAATAATCTCTACACCCAATGTGGGGATTGAAATCAAAACCCTGAGATCAACAGCTGCATGCTAAACTGAGCCAGTGAGGCACCCCTCAAACGTTAATCTTTAAAAAACAAACCCCCCCTACTATTTCTTGTCCTTTATTGCATGCCATGTGATGTACTAATGTACTATGCAAGGGTTTTACCAGTATTCATTCATTTACTCTTCACTGCAATCCTGTAAAGAAGCTGTTATTACAGATGAGTAAACTGTGGCATAGCTAAGTAACAGTAGTACACCCACCACAATTACATGGTTAGCAAGTCACAGGGAGAGGATATGGACCCCATTTGGCTACAGAACCTATGCCCTTAACTGCCCCAAGTTTTGTAAATTTTTTGTTTATAAAGCATTTTTCTCTAATCTCAATTCTTTAGTTTTACATCACCATTCCCTTTTTTGGATTCCAAAATGGCCTATCTGTGCTCAACAATAATTCTTCTCATGCAGCCCACGTGCTACTTATGACCTTCTTAAAACCTTTAAATACATTTCCTGGGGCGCTTGTGTGGCTCAGTCCATTGAGTGTCCGACTCTTGGTTTTGACTCAAGTCACGATCTCAGGGTCGTGGGACTGAGTCCTGCGTCAGGCTCCATGCTCAGCAGGGAGTCTGCTTGAAATTCTCTCCCTCTGCTCCTCCCTGCATGCATGGACTGTCTCTAAAATAAATATATTTTTTAAAGATTTCATTTATTTTAGATAGAGTATACAAGCAGGGGGGAGTGGCAGAGGGAGAAGTAGGCTCCCCATTGAGTAGGGAGTCCAAAGCAGGGCTCGATCCCAGGACCCTGGGAATCATGACTGGCGGTGAAGGCAGATGCTTAACTGACTGAGCCTCCTAGGCCCCGCTACAATAAAAAATCTTAAAAATATATATACAATATATATATATATACACACACAAATACATTTCTCAATGTTCTGAGGACAAGACTTACTTTGCATAACACTTCAGACCTTACACTGCTAATTTCTCTAGCCATATCTCTCATCAATACACTTCTTAGAGTCTGCCCTCTAGACATAGTGAACCACTCACAAATCGTTGGTCATATCTAAAATTCTGTACATGGTATTTTCTCTGCCTGGGAAAAATATTTCCCCACTTCCTCCTACTTCTGTTTGTCCTCCAGAGATCTAAGAGGTCATTTTCTCCAAGAAAATCACCCTAACCCTTATACCCCAACCTCCTCCCATCTGGGAAGGTGCCCTCTCTTGAGCTTCTATATTAGCCTTTACTTACTGCAATGTTATTATACTGCAGTTACTTGGATGCACTGGTTGTCTCAAGGTCTCCTCTTTCCATGATTTTTATACAAGGAGGGACTTTATACATGCTGTCTGCCCATGCTAGTACACTGTTCTAATATACAACAGGTAATTGATCTTTTTTTTTTTTTTTGGTTTGCTTATTTTGAATTAAGGAATGAATCCCAACTCTCTAATAGAACCAACAGGCAAGTCACTTAATTCTCTAAGCCTCAATTCACTCATCTGTAGAACTAGAACCATATGTCATCTTACAAAGCTTTTGTAAGAATCAAATAAGTCACTAGGCTATATACTGTATGTACTCTGCGAACTGTGGAGTGCTATAAGATGTTGGGTGTCATAATCCTTTATAAATGAAGAAAGTGAGCTCCAGAGGGATGAAGTGGGACCTGCCCATTTGTCACTTAGTTTCTAAGTACCAAAGAAAGCGAAGACTAACTCTGACTCCTAGTCTTGGGCTTTTTATATGATACCGGGCTCAGGGCGCCTGGGTGACCCAGTCATTTAGGGGTCCAACTCTTGATCTCAGCTCAGGTCTTGATCTCAGGGTGGTGAGTTCAAGCTCTGCATTGAGCTCCACTGTGGGCATGAAGCCTACTTAAAACAACAACAAAAATACATACCAGACTCTATATTGATTGAACGTTCCAAGTTTAAAGGGAAGAGGTGGAAATAAACTATGTATTTTTAGGTCTAACAACAAACAACAAAAACCATGAATTTGAAGAAAAGAAAAATTAAGCAATAGCTTGGCAAGAAAAAAATATGTAATTGTATTGTCTAAAACTTACATTGTGCTTAATATGTTAAAAGCATCGTTCTAAGTGTTGGGTGTATGGTAACTCTATCTTCGCAATCATCCCGTTGTATTATTATCCACCTTTTACAGAATTTCTACGCTTACTAAACTTTACAGTTACTTCCATTTTTTAAAAGATTTTATTTATTCATGAGAGACACAGAGAGAGAGAGGGGCAGAGACACAGGCAGAGGGAGAAGCAGGCTCCACACAGGGAGCCCGATGCGGAACTCGATCCCGGGACTCCAGGATCACGCCCTGGGCCAAAGGCAGGTGCTAAACTGCTGAGCCACCCAGAGATCCCCTATTTCCATTTTTTAAAATTTATTTATTTATTTATTTATGAGAGAGAGAGAGAGAGAGGGAGAGGGAGAGGGAGAGGCAGAGACACAGGAGGAGGGAGAAGCAGGCTCCATGCTGGGAGCCCGACGCGGGACTCGATCCCAGGACTCCAGGATCACGCCCTGGGCCAAAGGCAGGCGCTAAACCGCTGAGCTACTCAGGGATCCCCTATTTCCAGTTTTTAAGAGAAAAAGAGCAGTCTCATTTTCACTCTTGGAAACAGCAACTATCCTAGAAACAAACAGCTCTCTACTGAATAACTTAAAGTGCTCAAGGGGGATAATACATTTTCTTGGTTTTGTCCTCTACTCCCTGGCCCTGAACTCATTTTATCTTATTCTATAGTGAGTATTCTATAGTGACTTTTCAATTGTGTCTTACCTTCTGCCTGCAGAAGGACATCACAGAACACACCAGTCTGTTGCTGGTGATGAAGCTGCAGAAAAGCTAACCGGAGAAACCGGGGGTTCCTGTATAGGATTTTGGAACTTGCAGGAGAGCACATGTTAGTCTCTTAAACCTTCTAGGTTTTCACAGATCAGATTCCTGTTGATGAGAAAGTATATTTCAGAAGAATTACTGTACCTAATTTGTTTTTCGTCTTTGAAATGATAGGAAAATCTTGTGAGATCAGAGAATAGCCACGAGGTGAGTTACCTAAGTCCAGAAAGTATGCCAAGGGTCTCTCAAGAAAGAACATCATAGTGGTTCCATGTGGGAGCTCAGAAGCAAGTGTAGATTTGAATCTCCGCTCTGCTATTAGCTTAGCTGTATAATTTCAGGCAAATGACCTATCTTTTCTGAGTCTTGCTTTTCTCACCTATGAAATAGTAACGATAACAGTACTTACCTGGTAGGGCTGTTTTAAAGATTAAGTGAGTCAATGCAGGTAAAACTGCTTAGCACTGGAAGTGCCTGGCATATAATAACTACCACTTCTAAAGCGGTAGCTATTGTTACCCTTACACCTCCTTCATTCACGTTCCCACTGAAACTCAACGCCTACAGTGCTGACAACCCATATTCTCTCCCCGGGCAACAACACACTTCTGAGTTCCACAGGTACCATCCTCAATTTAACACTTTTAAAGAAAACAATACTGAATAGAAAATTCTCTAGGAGGTTGTACACACCTCCTTTTCTTTGAGCTCACTCTTATCACACTAACCAGCAGAGGGTGCACAGTAGAGAAAACAGCTGCGGGACCGGGTGGGAAAGTCTCAGAAATAAGGACGCTGCCACTCTTGCTTCAGATGTTCTTGACCAAAGTGAGCCTAGTGCAGCCTGGAAATTAGTAAACGATTTGGCCTTTAGGTTGGTCACACTGGTTCAGACCTGGCTAACGACGGAGCGGGGATAGTTAGGCACTCTACCCTTCCTGATACAAGCCACATATTCTGAATTCAGGCTTACTGTGTTTCCAGCTTTTTGCACCGAAACCCCCACACTCCCCGCACAGCTGCTGTTCCTTTCCTGACATGCAGTTTTCTGTCAGGTGGCACCGAGGATCTGAACAGCTCCCGTCAAACTATCAGGAAAGAAGAGAATGGAAAGGTTAATGAAGAAAGGGTAGGCTCAATTCCAATTTGAGCCAGAGAAGGGGGGGTGGGGGGCAGGGGATGGCTCTTGCGAGGCCCCACACATAGGCTCCGGGGAAGCTTCCCAACCCACCAGCAGCCGGCCTGGCCCCGAGACCCGACCTGGACGAGCTGTGCAGTGGGAGCTGCGCTTGGCGACCTCTCGGTGCTTGGGTCCTCTGTCCAGCCTGCCTTGCTTCCTCCCCAAGTCCAGCCTCGCGCGGGGAGGTTTAGCAAAGCAGCGCAGGTGGGCCAACGGCCTGAGGGTCTGTCTCCCCGTCCAGAGCCGAGGAATCGGGGCTGGCGGAGAAAGCTGGGCTTCAGGGCAGGCCCTGCAATGCTGGGCGTCCCGCACGCTCCGGGCGCCCCGGCCCAACTCCTTTCAAGAGAGACCTCGGCGCGAAGGTTTCTGGGAATGGAGCGTGGGGACCCCGGAGGCCCGAATTCAGGGCTCGCCGTCACCACCAGCCGAGGCCGCACGGGCTTTGCAGCGACCCCCTGGCGCCCTCGTACCGCCGCGGGCCCCGCCAGCCGCCTGCACCGGGAGGCGGTGACAGCGAGGGCCTGAAGCCACGCGGCCCGCGCCACACAGCTCGCGCCGCCGTCCTCGCGCACGGCGCGTCGCGGGGCCCGACGTCCTTCCTCCTCCCCCAGCCCCCCCGCTGACGTCTGCCCGAACACGTCATCCCCATTGGCCGAAGGCTCGTCGGACGGCCAATCACAGGGGCCGGAGCACTTTGGGCGGGAGGCTAAGTCTCGAGCGACTTGAAGGCCGCGCTAAGACGGGCTGCGAGAGGTAGGCGGGCGGGCCTGCCCGGACGGGTCTTCCCGGGGGCTGCCGTCTCCCTCGGCGCCCGACGAAACCCCGGTGAGAAGCGGGCGAGGATGCTCCCGTAGGGCGGGCTCCCGGGCGGCTGCAGGACACCACTGCCTTCCCTTTGAGGAGGCTGCCAGTAAGTGGCCCTGGCCTGTGAGAGGGCTCCAGGCTTCCCGGAGGGCTCCCCTTGCGCCTCGGTCGGGCCTCTCCGCTCTCGAAAGCTCCCCAGGCTAGGGATGTTCGTCAGCGAGGCCTTGGGGTTAGTGTCTGGGTTTAGGCATTTCAGAGATTCCGGTCCCCCCTAAATCTCCGAGAGCGGGCGTGACCGAGGGGGTTGCAGTACTTCCCGTGCGGAGCGGCCTCCGGTGTCCTTCCAGGGATGATCTAGTTAGTGCACTTCCTGACTGGAAACAACTATTTTCAGGGGTGAGGTTAAAAAAAAAAAAAAAAAAAAAGAGTAAGTGATTTCAGGATTAAACATTTAGAGAGAATGTCAGCCCACATGACATGACAATGAACCCGGACATTGGTTCTTACCCGTTGTATGTGTTAGGACCTAGGGCCTGGCTCCCATGAGATGCCCCGCCACGGCTCTCTAGACGAAGATGGTCAAGGCCAAAGCCACCGGGGATGGAGTGCGGTGAACTAAAGCGGGGCAGCTGCCACTGAGGCCAACGGGAGGCAGAACCGAAGATGCTCGGGAGAAGGGGAACCTGCACAGAACAGACCAGAGTGCTGAGGTGAGCAGTGCAATGCGCTCAAATAGGTCTCTATTGGTATCTAACGTCTTTTCCAAGAGGCTTTGAGGGGTATGTCGATGATACTATAATTAAATATGTTTTTAAAATATTTTATTTATTCATGAGCGACATCCAGAGAGGGGCAGAGGCACAGGCAGAGGGAGGAGCAGGCTCCCTGCGGGGACCCCAAGCGGGACTCGATCCCAGGACCCCCGGATCACGACCTGAGCCTAAGGCAGACGCTCAACCGCTCAGCCACCCAGGCGTCACTGTAATAAATTATTTTTAAAGAATTTGGGAAGGTTGACTTAAATATGGGAGGTGGGGTGCATTTCCAAGTCAGGTAATAATTTTCTAGGCTTCTGTTCTCAACGTGGAAAAAAGATCAAGGAGCAGAAGACATTTTCGGCTGCAGTTAATGTTTTGAAGGGGAAGCAGTTTGTGAAAGGACGTAAAAGCAGAAGGAGGACACACGCAAGCAAAAAAAAAAAAAAGGCAGAGCAGTGTTTATGGCATCTGTCATAAGAAAAATAGAAATATTATATCCCCCTATGAATTTATTGTTACTAGGATTATATTAATTTTCAAGAAATAGAGAGGACTCACTTCTTGGTTTCTTTCTTTCATTCATTCTTTCTTTTTTTATTTTTTTATTATTTTTATTTTTTCATTCTTTTTTTAAAAAGCTTTTATTTATTTATTCATGAGAGACACACACACAGAGAGAGGCAGAGACACAGGCAGAGGCAGAAGCAGGTTCCTCGCAGGGAGCCCGATGCGGGACTCAGTGCCGGATCCTGGAATCACGCCCTGAGCCACCCAGAGACCCCTTTTTCTTTTTCTTTTTCTTTTTCTTTTTCTTTTTCTTTTTCTTTTTCTTTTTCTTTTTCTTTTTCTTTCTTTTTCTTTTTCTTTTTCTTTTCATTTTCCTTTTTCTTTTTCTAAGACTTTTTATTTATTCATTTGAGAGAATGACAGAGAGGCCAAGCAGGAGGAAATAGAGAGGGAGAGGGAGAAGCAGACTCCCTGCTGAACAGGGAGCCCGATGTGGAGCTTGATCCCAGGACCTGGAGATCATGACCTGAGCTGAAGGCAGGTGCTTAACCATCTGAGCCACCCAGGTGCTCCCCTTTTCTTTCTTTTTTTTTTTTTTAATTCAACACCATTTAGATAAATCTTGTGATAGTGGAATTTCTAAAGGGGATGATAAATGGTCATCCTACCAAGGGCTTTAAAAATGACATTTGATGGTAATGTGTAGCCACCAGAGGGTAGAAACGAGTAAAAATATTTTGTCTTCCTTTGTATGGATAGCCAGTGCTTTTTGGAGTTGATTTTTTTTTTTTCTCGTTTCTTCTCCTTGGCATTTATGGTTTTGGCTATTTTAGGAGAGGAGACAGCACAGCACTCAGCCCTACATGATAATTTTAATATTTCTTTTATTTTTATTTTATTACTTTATTTTTAATATTTTTTTTTCTTTTTTGAATTCAATATTATTTCCCAACTCTTCCCTAATTTTTTACTATTTTATCATATCTTTGTATGTTTAGCATGTGATGGATGTTGGAGGGGAGATAAAGTTTGAGAGTTGTAAAACTCAGCACTGAATGTAACATTCATTCCGTTTGTTAAAAACAAAACAAAATCAAAGAAGGGATGTCTGGGTGGTTCGGTGGTTCAGGGTCTGTCTTTGGCTCAGGTCATGATTCTGAGGTCCTGGGATGGGGTCCCCGTTGGGCTCCCCACAGGGAGCCTGCTTCTCCCTCTGCCTGTGTCTCTGCCTCTCTCTCTCTCTCTGTGTCTCTTATGAATAAATAAATAAAATCTTAAAAAAAAAAAAACAGAGGAAAGAAAAAAAAACCCACCTCGAAATTAAAAACCACCTTATTGGGGATCCTTGGGTGGCTCAGCGGTTTAGTGCCGCCTTCAGCCCAGGTTGTGATCCTGGAGAGCCAGGATCGAGTCCCACATCGGGCTCCTGGCATGGGGCCTGCTTCTCCCTCTGCCTCTGTCTCTGCCTCTCTCTCTCCCCCACCTTATATCTCTAAACATATCCTTAATCTGTTGACTTCTCTCTATTTTTACTGCTACTACTGTAGTTAACTCCATATTACTGCAACTTGACCTTCAAACTAATTTCCTTGCTTTCACCCTTGTGCCCTCTTTAATCCATTTGTCATATAAGATCTTTTCAAAATCTGAGTTAGATCATGTCACTCTGCTGTTGAAAACACTCACAGACTTCCCTCTACCTGAGAATAGTTTAATCAAATCTCTAACCTGTGGAATTCTTCATATTTCTACCATTCCCTCCCTCATTTTGATACTGTGTTGGATCCCACAAGTTTCAGCCTCACACTTGGGGGCTTTGGCATTAGTAGTTACCATTGCTCCTATATTCCTATGTTGGCTGATTCTTCCCATTCATATTTCAACTTAAATGCCAAAGTCTCTGGAGAGTTTGTCCTTGACATCCAATGTAGCACAAGCCACAAGTCATTCTCATCAGTCCATTTTAAATCTCTGCTTAGTGTTCCATCTGACATCTTTTTTATTTTTTTAAGATATTATTTATTCATGAGAGACACACAGAGAGAAAGGCAGAGACATAGGCAGGGGGAGAAGCAGGCTCCACGCAGGGGGCCCAACGTGGGACTTGAGCCCAGGTCTCCAGGATCACACCCTGGGCTGAAGGGGGCGCCAAACCGCGAGCCACCCAGGCGTCCCTCATTTGACATCTTATTTA